GTTTTTCTAGTTGATCATTTATAAAAGACAAGACTTACACATTATATTCTATACGTAAACCTTATTCTAATTATATATAATAATAATTCTAAAAAAAGAAATGTCTGCCTTTTTCGTCCCGGTGAATAGAAATAATCACGATTATTTAAGTTAAAAATAAAAACGATTTCACTATAGTATTACCTATTGACTAAATAATAATTTAAATAATTTACTATATATATAATTATATATATATATATTTATGTATATAATTATATATATAGTAGTATTCTTTTTTATTAAATTTAGGTTATATTTACATTTAACATTAAATTTAACATTTTCAATAATTTATAATATATAAAACATAAATATTATAAATAATTATAAGAAAACTAATAAGAAAAACCTAACTTCATTTACATAATATCTAATTTTAACCTTATACGATTATGGCATTTGCCGTCAATCGGGGAATTATATATATATATTTATATATATATATTTATATATATATATTTATATATATATATTTATATATATATATTTATATATATATATTTATATATATATATTTATATATATATAAATCAAACTTTATTATTCTAATTTTTATAATAAAATTTTTCTTAGTTCTTAGTTCTGAGTTCTTAGAACTTCTTTTTAAAATGCATTAAGCATATGTTTTCTTATTTTTTAGCGTAAACATTTAATACAGAGGATAATTTTTTTTTCAATTTAAGTCCTGTTAGCGTGCACTTTGGCTGTTGTTAATATTTTGGTTTTTAATTTTTAATCAGTTTCTACTATGAACACTCATTTTGGCTGTTGTTTACTTTAATATTGGAAGTATATATATATATTTTTTTTTAAACATTTTTTGTGGAAATTTTATTTATTTAAAACAAAATAAAATAAAATAAGATAATAATATAATAAAATAAAATAAAAAAATTTTAAAACAAAGTGTTTTATTCTTGTATTCTATGTAATATACACATTTAATTAACGTTTTGGCCGTTGATTTTTTAAACTGTATTTCATTAAAACACTAAATACGTGAAAGTATGCTGACTGTGTAATAAGGATATTCTTAATGTTTGATTTAATTATTTTAGGCACTGATGTTAAATTGTTAAATTTTTTTAATTTTAAAACTGTTTCTAAAAATAGTTTCTGTAATTACTTTTTGTGAAATTATTGTTGTTTTCGTTTTACATTTTATTGGTATTAGCTGGTACTTTGACTGTTGGTGCTACATACAAAACTATAACTATCCAATTTTTTATACTTTCATTATTATGTAGACGACTGTTTTGTTTTTCATTAACTTTGTAAATGATTTTGCATTTTCAAAGACGATATCTCGAGAACCAACCTATATCGACATATGCTATAATGCAGAAAGTTACTCAGAACAAATGCCTTTATTTACTTATATCGCGTTTAACTACAGGTGAAAGAGATCATATATTTTTATGTTAATACTCTCGAGTCTACTTTTACATTATTACAATAAATATATAGAAATTACAAAAAAAAAAACAAATAATAATAGCTAGCTACAAACAGATTAAAGAAAGTCAGATAGTGATTGAATACATACAATTAACTAATATTACATTATGCTGATGATTGGTGCAATTATTATATTGATTGTAAAATGTTCTAATGGAAATAATTTAGTTGAGTTCATTATTTGTCTATAAATTATTACTTTAAGAATAGTATTTATTTTTTAATGGCACTAAATGATACAGTCAAAGATTTTTAAAAAACATATGGAGAGTGATAATTTATTTTAAAAAACAAGTCTATTTTAATAATTAATCTCAACATCAATAATTACATGCACATCACCAGTCCATTTCATATTCACGATTTCTGCGTGCTTTAAGAACATTTAAGACTTAATCTCATTTTTTACTAGCATCGAGCGTTTTATGAATTTCGCTGAATGCTTGACCCAAGCAATCTACAAAATGTTTACCATTCCTTTGATTTTTATAGGAAGAAACTATAGCACCGCATTCTGCATTTTGTATCGAATAGCTGTAAAATTATTTTCATATAAAAATTGTTAACTTGAAATATTTTTTACTTTTTTCTGTAATATGAAAAACTTACCCAACACCTAATCCATCCTGCACAACTGGTCCAAAAGAACCTGCTAATAATGCATCGGAAGACAATGTGGATGTGCTTATAATGTTATAATTAATTTTTCTATATGCCTCGGTATTGTACAATTCAGGTAAAGTTTTATTCTGTTTAACTGCCTCATGCTTTAAAGCAAATAAATGTCTATCGAATCCTTGACCCATTGCAGCTTCTTTTGTTAAATTTCCATGCAGCGTAGAACACTTATCGATCATAGCTCGTAATTCATTAGAGTCGGGTCTACTGTTAGTTGGTTTTAAAATTGCTTCGCAAAAGTTTTTAGTTGGAATTGTACATGGGCGCATAGTTTCCGTACGACCGTGGCGAAATGCAGCTGTACTACAAGATTCATATGTACCGACATAGGAATTGAATGCCAACTTGTAGGCTAGCTGAAATGACAACTGCATAATAGAATCTGGGCTTACTCCATATTTTTTGCAAGATAATTTATTTATATGAGAATAACGTAGCATATCCATATTAAGAGTTTCCATAACATCAGAATTTTTTGATGAAGCCAGTGCCACATCAGCACGCAACTTATCATCTATATCAAAATTTAAGGAACGCACACTGTGATCATTATTCAAACTTTCTGGAATGGTGGCACTGCTAACAAACGGCCGCTGTAATGTTTCTTTGTAAATTTCATTGAAATAACGTAGAACTGCTACTCCATCGCCCCAAGAGTGTTCAAAATTGACTGCTGCAGTGCCATCAGCACCCACAAGTAATGAGACAGATTTATCAAACCAGCTAAAAGAGAACAATTAAATTTAATAAATATAAAATGGTTTAAATTTTGAATTTATTTATCGACCTGTTTTTTTAATAAAGGTTTTTATATATTTCTTATTCGACTATAGGTCACTTTTTGGTAAAATGTAAATTCAACGTTTGTTTAATATTTTTTAATATATTCTATATTTCGATTCACCTTGATAGCCATCATTGGGATCAGGATCTAACATTGCACTTTGCAATATAGACAATAGAACGAAAAGAATTTAGAAATTAATATTAATTTATGTCAGATCCTGATTCTGTTGGTGACTGTCAAGGAGAGTCGAAATAGAGAATATAAAGTGATCTATAGCCGGATAAAAAATATATAAAAACCATTAATAAAAAATATTTTCAAATATATATGTTACCGATTTTTTCCTTCGCCAGCTAGAAAATTTTTAATTAATGGTATTTGATTATCATCATTATAAATTGGATCTTCTTCACTATCCAAACACAAACAAAATAATGCCTTATCCACTTCATTTTCTATCAACTTTCCATTTTTTTCTGATATATTTTTTACTAAATGTTGTCGTGTGCGGGCCCAATCATTGCGTGAACCGGTAGTTAAAACACCCAAAGGCACTTCAGCCGCATTACGTTTATTATCTAGACTCAGTACTGCTTGAAGCCGCGCTAATATTACGCTAGGTTGCTCTATTTGTCCATTTTGATTTAATACATCTACTGCATATAGATTACCTCTTCTCATAACAATGATATGCTTAGAGTCAATATTTTGCACTAAAAGATCTTTATCCATTTGAGGTATACGTGATGTACCAAATAAACGATTGTATTGACTCATATCTAGTGGAAAGGCTTTGAAGACGTAAGCAACATATGTTGCAAAAGCCGTAGGAGCAATACGCATCCATTGTCTAAATTGTGGAGTGTCACTCTTCTTAGCATTCAAATGAAATATTTCAGGTTCTAAAAGATCTACTTTTAATGAGTTCCAAAATCTTAATGAACTCACAACCAAATTCGTAGCACGGACTAGCTGTGATCGATATTCTGGCCGTGTATCATGTTTCATAATTAACAGAGGATTATAATTTAGTGGAAGTGGCGCACGGTCACTGAGGTACATATCGAACCTTTGGATGGAAGTTATAGAGATATTAGTAAGTAGAGATTTATATATTACTTGTACTCACCAAGGCTCGGATATATAACTTGTGTGTTTGTTGTTTAAATCGTTTTGTTTTAGCTTTGCATGCAAATCCATACCTTCTCCCTGATGAAACTCCTTAATCACTTTTTGAGTCGCAGCAAATTCGTCAGCATTGAGTATAGGTTGCACAGCAGACAAGAATCTTTCACAGGTTTTGTCTAGTGTAGGTATAGGTAGACGTGGCAAGGAGCGCTGAAAATACATTGTCGGCAGTTTGGAACGTTGCATGTATTGATAATCTGTTCCTTGTGGTGTTGAAGTTACGGATCTAACAGCTTGAGTGCATAATTTTTTCGGACTTTGCAGTAAAATTCCACGCATTTTTAATTATTTTTTAATATATGTTAGACAATAGTGAATAACGCAAAATTCGTTGTACAAAGCAAAATTTCACTAAGTGTGTTGATTTATAAATGCAAAAGCAATGATATAAAAAATACAAAGTCCAAAAACAACAAAATCAACAAGTAAATAAGCAATGGTTGTAATTGAAGAGAAACAAATACTTTTTAAGAGCAGTTTTAGTGTTGCCAATTACTTTTTCGTGAATTCGAATACTGCATATGAAGAATTATTTTAATTAAATTATATTATAAAACAATTTTCTTATTATATAATATAAACTAATTAACTGCATTTAATTCAAAAATTTAAAAAAAAACTAATATTAAATAATTTACATACAAACATCATATTGCTACTGCACATGAGGTTTATAACAAACAATAAATTTTTTTCGGATGACCCATCGTTAATATTCTTTGCTATTCCCTATGAAAAATTAACAGAGCGAAAAAATGCTTTTATTCTCTTAATAATTTTAATAACAGCTGTTGTATTGAACAGCTGTTAGTGTAACAGCTGAGAGATTGTGTTGATTGATTTCTTGTTGTGATGTATAAATTTACGCGTGTCTTTCGATTTAAATTTTTTAACAAAAACGTTTTAAATAAAAAATTTAGCAATAATGCTAATAATCAAAACGTGTCAACTAACTGTTACGACGTAATAGTTATTGGCGGTGGACATGCTGGAACAGAAGCATGTGCAGCATCGGCGCGTATGGGTGCACGCACATTGTTGGTTACCCATAAAGTGGAAACCATAGGTGAAATGTCATGTAATCCGTCATTTGGTGGCATTGGCAAAGGGCATCTTATGCGTGAAATTGATGCACTTGACGGAATTTGTGCTCGTTGCTGTGATGTCTCGGGAGTTAATTATAAGGTATTGAATAAACGACGTGGACCGGCAGTCTGGGGTCCACGGGCACAAATCGATAGAAAACTTTACAAGCAAGCCGTGCAAAAGGAACTGTTCTCAATAAAAAATTTAGACATTCGCTGTGCAGCAGTTGATAATCTCTTAATAAATTACAACGAGTTGGAAGAGTGCGGTAAACGTTGTGAAGGTGTTGTTCTACAAAATGGTGATGTGGTCTATAGTCATACAGTCATTCTAACTACTGGTACCTTTTTGCGTGCACAAATAAATATTGGTTTAGAAACGCGTCCCGCTGGTCGTGTAGGTGATGCTCCCGCAATTGCTTTGGGTAAGAACTTAGAATCAATCGGTTTTCGTATGGGTAGACTGAAAACCGGCACACCTCCACGAATTGCAAAAAATAGCATAAACTATGTTGGATTACCTTTGCATTATGGAGATAATCCACCAATACCATTTTCATTTATGAATGAGAACGTTTGGTTAAGACCGGAAGATCAATTACCTTGCTATTTGACGCATACCACCTCACGCGTTAATGACATAGTACGTGAAAATTTGCATGTCAACCGACATGTAACCGAGGAAATAACTGGACCAAGATATTGTCCATCAATAGAATCGAAAGTGCTACGCTTTCAAGCTAAAACTCATCAAATATGGTTAGAGCCGGAAGGTTTAGATAGTGAACTTATTTATCCACAAGGTTTATCTTGTACATTACCACACGAACAGCAAGAGCAATTGGTGCATGCGATCAAAGGATTGGAATCAGCTGTTGTTGTGCAACCTGGTTATGGTGTAGAATATGATTTTATAGATCCACGCGAATTATATCCAACGCTTGAAACAAAACGTGTATCTAATTTATTTTTTGCTGGTCAAATCAACGGCACCACTGGTTACGAGGAGGCAGCAGCACAGGGCATCGTAGCTGGTGCGAATGCAGCTGGAAAAACAGTTCACTCAACATTACCAAGTGAAAAACAGAAATTAACTATTAGTCGTACAGAGGGTTATACAGGTAAAAATTAATTTAAATAGATAAAATATGCATTAAAGTATTTTCACTTTTAGGAGTTCTTATAGATGATTTAACAACTCTTGGTACTAATGAACCATATCGTATGTTCACAAGTCGTGCGGAGTTTCGTTTAACACTGCGTCCAGATAACGCTGATATCAGATTAACCGAAAAAGGTTACAACTATGGACTAGTATCGGAAACACGTTATAAACATTTTGCAGATATAAAAAGGAAACTTGAATTAGCAGTCTCATGTTTGAAATCCTTAAAACGACATTCTAACTATTGGCGTCAAGCTCTTGGACTACGATTAGCTAAGAATACAATAGAAAAAAGCGCATTTTTAATGTTAGGTATAACAGCAGATGGAATAACAGTAGATCAATTAATTAAGTTATATCCTCAAGAACTAGATTGGCTTGAAAATGAAAATATTATTAAACAACGACTTAAAATTGAAGCTCTTTACGACTTTTTTGTTAAAGAACAAATGCAAGAAGTCGAGGATGTGCGACGTGATGAATGTTTATTAATTCCCACAGACATTGATTACTTCTCCAGAACATTAAGTCTTTCAAATGAGGAACGTCAAAAGCTAAGCATGATACAACCACAAACAATCGCTGCGGCGAGTCGCATACAAGGCGTCACGCCTTCAACTATTGTACGAATTTTGAAATACGTTAAACGTGCAAATTTAACGCCATCGAATAGCTCAAACACTATCTAGTAGTAGTAGTAACATAGTAGTAGTATTGTAAGGATTATTCATTAATATTCTAATAATTATTCAAATTAGCTACGAACAATTCGAACTATTTGGATTTGTTTAATATTCGAGCACTTTCGTGCAAAGCCAGTGACCGAATCGTTCGTAATATTTAAATTACGTGCATTTGATCGGTCATGACCGCATATTTGAATTATTTCTAAAATTCAAACAATCCGAAAACGAACAACACTACTTAATTAATTTTCTTTAGATGTAACTTTATGATTAAATGTATTTTCCTTTTATTTAGAGAAGTTACGTTATTTTAAATTTAAAGATTATTTTTATTTTCTTTATTCTAGTAAATATACAACTTTAAATTGACTTTAAAAATGTTTAAATTGCATATAATATATAGTCGTATGATTAAATAAAATATTTTAATATAAAAAACATTTCTTTGGTAAAATAAAAAAGGAATTTAGCAAGTATATCAGAAAAATTATTTAAAATTTTTTTATTAAATTATAAAAATTGTTTAAATCTTAGTTAAAATTTTATATAATCTCTTTTTTTGCTTTTTTTATTTACTTAACAGAAATTGAAAAACAATAATTTTTTAAATTTTAAACCTTTTTTCGATGTTTTTTTTATAAAATCATAAAAGGATTTTTCTAACTACATTCGAAGTATAAAATTTTATGACTTCTATGACAATAATTTTATGACTAAACAATACTTCAATTCTTTATGAATATCCTAATTTTAAATGTTTATAAATTTTTATTTACAAAATCAATTCACGTTTATTATTGGTCCATGGTATGATGTTATTCTTATCTTTATTCTTTACTTCGCCATTACATTTTGTTCGGCATGTTGTGGTCATAACTTAGCTGAGAGGGCTAATCCGTTAGTGGTTCCTAAATGTAGACTCAACCAATATTGGAACCTGTTTAGTAACGCATGAATCATTGTTATCATTGTTGTTGAAAGATATTGAATTTGAAACTACTTATTCATTGTTTTTTAAGATTTATGATTAGATTAAGATCCATGACTTAAGTTGTTTTAAATTAAATAAATAAAAGTGAACTTAGATTTATAAATTTGTCTAAGAAATGAAATAAAAGAAAATAAAAGATTTTCAACGTTTAATCAACAACAAAGCACACTGAATGCTCAATTAAATTTTATTTTAATAATATTTTTGTTAATGTAGAATATTTATTTTAATAAAATCATAGAAAACATAGAAAATAAAGACGTGTCATTTCTATGTTTTGGTTAAAATTATTATTACATTAACAGCGTAACATATAATTGCTAAATAATCAAGAAAATATCAACAAGCGACTCATCCATGTTAAAGAAATGCCACTTTTATTTGGATGATAAATTTATAATCCACACACCCAACCTCATACAATTATGTTGGAGCAAGTCACAACCCGTATGCTATTCAACGCGTACGCATATGGTTTTTCAAACGGTATTGCAAACGGTAATAAAGTGTAATATTTAAACGGTAAAATATTTTTATTAAATTTTAAACTTTAGTCTTGATGTACGTGCTTTCAAACGAAGACGCTTTCTAACGTGTTTGGCCGCGTCGGTAATTAATACAGTAAATTAGTGGTGTTATTTGATATTACATTTGTTTTTAAAATGTTTTTTATTTGATTTTTATTAATATTTTAATAATTATTTTAATTATTACAATTTTAATATTAAAATTTTATTTAAAAAAGTTCGTTGAGTATTTTGGAAGTATTTCACAAAATTTTGGAAGGTAATTTATATTACATTAGTTTACTTTTTATGGTTTAAAGTGTTCAAAACCATTTATTTATAATAATTATTTCAAAATTTTAAATTTGACAAAAAGTTTTATTGTGTTTTAATTGGTAAAAGTTATATCCGGTAGTTTCATTCAAAATAAAAAATAATAAATTTTCTAATTAATATTTAAAAGCTTGTATAAAATATGGATATAAAAAACTTATTTCGAGATCTAATTTTCAATAACTGGTAAGTCTTAAATCATTTTTATATAATTTAATACAAAAATAAATTTTTATATATATATCGTTTATGTAGTTTTATATGTTAAAAATGCAACTACAGATAATTATATATATTATGTTATTTAAAAGTAATATTTTGCAATTACATATATGATTTTAAGGAATGATATAAAAATATAGCAATATATAACATATTTATTTGCCATAAATAGAGTATAATATAACTAATATACTCTAGATTCTTTAATAATAATATACATTATTCAATTCTTAAGAAAATATTTAGAAACTTATTTAAGCAAAATGAAAAAAATAGTATTTTTCCCTTGAATATAAAATTATTTTGCAAAGTTGTTTAACACAACTTTCATTGAATTTCCAACTTTAACTATATGTGTTTATTTTATATTGTTTCTATTTATTTAATATTCTATCAAATATCAAACAGAAAGTCAAACATTTTGTGTATTAAGTTTTATATAAGAGTATAGTAATATGAGTATAGTGTAAGGTAGAACCAACTATATTCGTCCTATATTAGCAACTCCTTAGGGATATAGTTTTAAAGGATTATAGTCGTTTCTTTGGTAGTTCACTATGCTCTCACTTTTCTACTGCAATGAGCGTCATCTTCGTTAATCTCATTTGTCATATTCAGTGCAATTTAAAAATATATTAATAATGCATTAATGTTTTAAATAAACATTATTTTTAAAAAAGTTAAAAATTACGTGTATGGTTCACTACTTGCCTATAACTAATGAATTATGTATACAAATAAAACAGTATTAAGATATATCAACTATTGCAACTCGATACTAATTACAAAATCTTCCTAGTTTTCTTCAACAAGTAATAATTATATTATTTCATTTAGTTCATAATATCCCTACATCATATTTAGCTATATAAATACATACCTCATTTTAATTTAGATATAAAAATACATTTAAAGTTTTTATATAATTTATTAAAGCTTATCGCTTTCAATATGTATAAACCAAATATAAATTTTATGTATAATAAACAAACATATGATAATAAACAATAAATAAACTAAAAATATTTCATTCAGTACAATACATTGAAAAAATTAAATGTAACAATTTTACAAAATTATTAAATAAATTGATTTTTTTAGACAAACAAAACTATTAAACGTATTTCACAAATATTTAACAAATAGTTATTACTCTATTATTTTTGAAGCAATTTTGGCTCAATCATATCATTCAACTTAATATTAATAATGTCTGTATCTGTAGAATCATCGAATTCAGTAGCAAACTTGGAAGGGATACGATGTATTTGAGAATGACCATCTATTTAAAATAAAAAAATTTTTGTGTTGTTAATTATTTATTTATACTCATTGACTTATGTGATTTGGTGGCAGAAATTAAAAAAATTTCGTAGCTCTAATAAATATATCAGGCTTTATATATACATTTAATTTTATTATTGTAATTCATTATTGTTCTGAAAACCTTTTTAGTAAAATATAGTTTTTATTAAAGAACAGATTTTAAATTTAAAATAAAATATTTAATAAAATAGTTTCAAAAGCTAGTGACCTACAATAACAAAAATTATTTTTATATTATTTTAATTAATTGAGTTTTTGACTAACCATACAACTCATTATTTTATTAAAATAAAATATTTAATTAAAGTATTAAATATTAAAATTACTATTAAATTTAAAGTATTAATTAAAATAAAATATTAAATTAAAAAAAGAATGCAAATAAAAACAGAAGTTTCAGCAGGCATAAAACTCGTGTTTAAATATATCATTTTAAAGATTTTTTATTAAACCGTTTCGAAACCTTGACATATATATAACTAAACCTATCGAATAATTATATTTTAGTTTTGCATATATTTTTAAATTATTCACGTAAGTCGTTATCAGTATAAATAAAAACAATATATTAAAATAAAAAAAAATAATAATTTTTACCTAATATACGCCATTTTATACTTTTTGTTCTTTTATTGACATATTCGCATATTCCTTTAATATAATCTGTTATAGTGGGTGTACATAATTCATCTAAGCGAAGCATCTGAAAATATGAAACACATAAAAATATAATATATTATTATACAATACATCTTTTTTTAAATGTAACTGTTTACCTTAAATATTACAATATCGCCAACATTTGGCAAATCATTTAATGGTTTAGATTTTTCTAGTTGTTTTTTTAAATCAGTCTCACCCACTGTTACAGACGTAGTTATATCCATTAAAAAGCTTTCTAAAATAGTAATAGAGTTTTATTGCAAAAATTTTTCATCGAAGTAATTTTATTTGAATACCATTCTCTGTTTCATCTAAATCTATAACTTCATCACTATTTTCATCGAATGTGTAATCCATATGGATATCTGTTTTGTTTGCAGCTAAAAGTTCACTAGCATTTGCATTGATTTCACTTACAATAATTGAATTAGTACAATTTTGAATTGAAATTCTAGGCAATTCTGCTTCAATAGTTATATCAACATTTGAATTTGCTAATTGTTCATTCAGTTTACTTTCTTCATTTGTCAAATTAAGATCATCATGTCTATCGGATTCATCGCATTCATTTTCAATTGACATAACACTAGAATTATTCAAACGTGAATCAAGCCATTCTGTGTCATTATTTAAGTCCATAATCTTATTTATGTCGCTATTATACAATTGTGTAACATTTTTCTTTTTATCATCACCATCGCAAATTTTAGTACTGTTCATAGCAGTTACATCCATTTGGAAGATGTCACCATGGTTACTAACAGATACCTTTGATACTTCTAACGTATCATTTTTTTCATTTTGCTCAGCTATAGCAAGATTTTCTTTACTTATATTAAGTGGAGTTGTTATCTGATTTTTAAATATAATGCTTGATTTACAAACTGGGCTGTCTGTGCGACGATAGTGTTTGTTTAATGGTCCAATATTATTAGTTTTAGCACTTAAGTTTTTGAATAACACATTCGAGGTATTGAGTTCTGTGTTATTTTTGCTGATATCAAGTCCGCTTATATTATCCTCGCTATTTCTCTCTTTCTCTACTAATAAAATTTTTTTACTTGGACTTTTTACTTTTAACTTCTCACATATTTCAGATTTATTGAAAGTAGTCATACATTGTAATTCTTCAATTTCATTTAGTATAATAGATTCATCATTAACTTCTGAAAATGATTTTTTTCTACTGATATCAGTTCCAGTTTTATTTACATCATTATCTTCGTTGCAAGAGTTATCATCTGCGCAATTTGCTTGATGTGAGTCAGTCTTATTTACTTCTTTAAATTTATTTAGTGTTTCTTTTGGAGTAATTATGACGTGTTCAATTATTGAAACACGATTCCTTTTGCTTTGATTAGATATAGAATTATTAAACTGTCTCCGCTCGTTATTTGTAACACCACAACGAAAACTGATAAATTCCCGTTGTTTTGCTGGTTTTCCTCTATCTACAGAAACGTTTTTACTAAGATCGGGATTATCCGCTTTAGAATCGAAAAATATATGCTGAGGTTTAATTTGCGAGTTTGTGTTTGTGCTCAATCTTAAATCTTTTTCATTGAGAGTCCGTGTTGAAGTCAGAATATTTATATCACAGGAAGTGTCCAAATTAGCTTGCTCTATGAATAAAATCAGAAAATGTGAAAATAAATGATAAAATTTTACTTAAAAAATATAGTAAATTATATCTACTACCTTCAGGAGAACTATTTGAAATGTTTACTTTATTTTTTTTATTCGTACGTTCACGTTTTTTTTTATTGGACAATACGTTTGACACGATTTCATTAGTTACTGGTTCTATATCAGCCACAATTTCTGTACTAATATTTATATTACATTTGCTTAATTGATTTATTTGTGGCTCTGTGCAAGTCACAACTTCATTAGTACTGGATATTTCGCATGATTTTTCTTTTGGTTGAACATCTAATATGCTTTTGGTACGTTTTGGTTGATTTGGAGTTGAACTCTTGCAGCCATTTTCAAGCATTTGGAATTTACGTTTTCTTTGCTTTAGGTCATCATTTAACATTGGAAATGTTTCAGCACATTCATCTTCAGCAGCTTTCGCTTTAGATTTTCTGAATTTTTTTCTTAAAGAGTCTTCAGGTATAAATGCTCTAATCAATTAAAACATTAAAACACTTTTAATATGTAATTTATTCTTTAAATTTTAAAAATATCTTACTTTATAATGCTAAAAAATTTTAACATTTTAACTGGTTCTTCAGGTGGTATGAAGCAGTCATCCGCTGTAAGAAATAGTACCGGCTTTATTTCAAATAAATGCTCCACGCGGTGCTGTAGCGCTGCTATGGATGTCCATGTTGGATCAACCATTACTATAACCAATTTTCTTTGATCATTAAAAAAACTGGATAAGTCAATTTTTACAGTGAACCTCTTCATTTTTTAACACGCGCGTCAAAAACGAATTCACTTGCGCCAAATAAAACTAGCCGCTTTGTGTGCTCTAATGGTGGTAAAAACTACGATAATTAATCGATAACAATCTTGAAATTAATAGTTTTTTTTAAATTCAGAAATGGTTAAATCATAAACCACTATGATTTTTTATTAGGTATGCTTATTATTACTCAAGCTAAAATACTTAAACTTTTTTGGCTTGGTTTTATTCCATTGACAAAATAACATATGATGAAAATTTGTTTTAAAGAGCTGTCAAGAACACAAAAATATAATGACGTAATTTGCCTCTGTTAAAAAAATCATGAATTCTGAAAAGGTACTCGCAATGGGGTAAACATATTTCATGTATGATCAATGCTATTTTGGTAGCGTAGTCACCAATCAAACCTCTATCGTACACTACATATTTTGCTTAGGCAGAACCATATAGAAAATGCTCTAATATTAAAACATACATAGCTTCTAGTTCATGCATAAGAAGGAAGCTTTTTTGGTACGGACTGGGTAGACAAATAATTTTTTTACTTTTCTTTATTATAGTACGTTTATTATATATCTTTGTATGCCAAGGTAAGTTAAGAATTTCTATTAAATGTGATGCTTGGACTTTGTTTTTGTGCTTTTTTTATTAAACTATATATGACTGGCTTTGTGTGCATAAAATGCAAAAGTTCTTCCAAAATTTTGTAAATTTGATATTTCCTGAAATTTTCTACTGGCTTCAGACAAATATATGAGGTTTGCCTATTATATGATGATTAAGTACAGGCAATAGCGCTACCATAGCTTTTGAAGTGTAAATGCTATTAATATTTTCAATATATTCGATTGTGAAGACCTATGGTCTACCCTATAGTAGCAAAGGTATTATAAGGTGTGGTAATAAACACCATGCTATTCAATAATTAATTATGTTTTATATTTTAAGTTTTTATTATTATTTTAATAAATTATATAAAACAAAATAATTAATAAAATTTTATTACTCAAATTATATAAAATGGTAATTCCATTACTAAATTTAATTTAATTATATAAAATCGAATTAGTAACTCAATTTTATTAAATATTAATTATAATTACATAAAATATATTTATTTATATCAAGGTGAATATTTATTTTATTGTTAATTTTTCTAAGCATTTATATATATTATTAGACTAAAGTTTTTTATACAAATTCTAATTTTCACAACTTTTTTTAATTTGTTGTTAAATTTTGAGCTATATTGACAACTTTTTAGTATCCACTTTGTGTTTTTGTATAATAGAACTTTTATTAAAGAGTCCAACAAAGTTTGGTAGTAACTTTCGCACATCGGCTCTTTAAACCTATTTTCGATATATACATATAACAAGGGCTGTTATACAAATAGTCATATAACGAATGTTTAATACAATTGTAGACTGTTTTTGGTAATTCCCAAAAGGCATGGTAAGCATAGAGACATATCAGTATTGTATTTTTCGTATTTTTACTACTACTTTTATATTTCTTGGTTGTGCCTAAATTTAAATGGAAATATAGACACACTCACTTTTTCGTTGACTGTATTTCAAAAGGTGGATATGTAAAATACACTAAAAATTTTGGACGCAATTTTAAAAATGGCTAAAGTTAAGAAAATTAATTACGATGAAATGTCTTTCAAGATTCTTCAAGCTCTTAACGTATATGTGGATAATATAGTTTTTTGGTGTGAAGAGCATAGAAGCTTAATTAGAGAAGCCTTAAAATTTGTGAAAATGCTGCAAAAAGAACAACGACATGAAAGATTACGTGCATTGAGATTGTGTGTGATTAAATTGCGGCGAAAATATAAAAGAATTTGTGTTTAATTTACATGAATCAAATTACATATATGAATCAAAACAACTGCTGCTCTTAAATATTGATGCATACAAGAACTTTTACAAGGATGTTTAATGACACTTTAAATGCTATTTACACAGATGGAAAGTGTGATTTGCAAAAAAAAAAGAAAACATTTATCATTTGATTTTGTGTTGCTTGTAATATTGTTTTTATTTCTGGTGTTTTTTTTTAATCGAAACTTGCACTCATAATTGCTAATTTAAAAGTTTTTAAGACAGTGATAAGTAAGCTAATGGGCATAAAAAATACGAAAGGGTAATACCACTCACCTTTGCATAGTTTTTGTATAGTAAATGCATTTGCATATGTTTTTCCATAAAGTTTTAAACACTTTAACAATACTTTTATAACAAATAAAAATATTTATGAAATTAATAATCTTAAATTTTGATATAATTAGAAAATATATACCTTATGAAAAATCTATTACTAATTAAATAATTGTGCAACGAAAAATTCCTAAAAGTTTGCTCCTAATTTGAATTCGCATCATGTTTGTATGAGTATCTTCTTAAGAAGCGGTCACTGCAGATAGTTGGCAATAAAATGTGTTCCCACCGAATGGGAATATGTATCAGTGCGTACGCTGATAAATTTTGGAATGTTTCGAACATCAGAATGTAACAATATTTTGAAACTTAAATTTTATAATTGAACCTTTTTGGCAAATTAAAAAAAAATTTTTTTATATTTGTATTTTTATATTAAAAACCAAAAACATAAACAACACTTTCCAATATATACGATAGGTTAATATATGATATATTACAATTGATATGCAGGATACACTTGAATTTCGTACTGAAACCGTTTAATAAATTTTTAAACAGACAAATGGTTTCAGTTTAAAATGAATAAAATAAAATTATACATTGCTCTTATATCAATAATTCGAAATGATCAACTTGAACGTAATCAAAATTTTGTTGTAAAATATTTAAAATTAATCGATTACAGTGTGAACATCGCCTAATTTCGTTTGTTTATCTTTTGCACTGAAAAAAATTCAGTTTTTCTTATCAATTTCGTGACAACGATATATATTGTACATAATGTTTATATATATGTATGTAAGGATGTGCCACCAAACATTAGTTTTTCAACAAGTGTTGAAGAAGTATCAACTGAAAGTGCAAAGAAAAAATGGTTAAGCAGGCTGCAAATGAAAAAAGCAAAAAATTTAATTTTGCAATTGATCGCGGCGGTACCTTTACAGATATAATATGTATGTGCCCCGACGGAAAAGTAAAAACATTAAAATTACTATCTGAAGATCCAGCACGATATAGTGATGCTCCACGTGAAGGCATACGACGTATCTTAAAGGAGGTAAGCTCACAAAATAAAAATATTTTATGTAATATTTCGAAATTTAAACGCTACAGGAAACGGGATGCGATACAACTGCTTCAGGGCTAGTTGATACATCATCAATTGGCTGGGTACGTATGGGAACAACTGTTGCTACAAATGCACTACTTGAACGTAAAGGTGATCCAGTTGCATTAGTGGTGAATAAAGGCTTTAAAGACCTACTTTATATTGGTAATCAAGCTCGTCCAAAGATTTTTGAACTCAACATACGTAAGCCTTCTAATTTATATAAAGTTGTAGTGGAGGTAGATTGTCGTATAGTTCCAGAACAACAGGAGCGCTGTCAGCTAAGTAAGTTTCTACTTTTGTGCTATACAAAATAAGATCAAATCAAAATAATTGTGCTTAAATTAAAATAGTTATGAGTTTAGTTTTTAACAGTTTTGTTGTTTTTAGAAAATAAATGGAAAGTGTTAACAGGAGCAGCTGGTGCAAAATATCTTGAAAAAAATTCAGTTGATGAAACAGCAATACGCACAGCTTTACAGCAAGTTCGTCAGCAAGGAATTCAATCACTGGCCGTAGTTCTGGCACATAGTTATGCTTGTCCAGAGCATGAACTCCGCATTGGTGAAATAGCGCGCGATATTGGTTTTACTCACATAACCCTTTCGCATCAAGCAATGCCTATGTGTCGTTTGGTGGCACGCGGATTCACAGCCTGTGCCGAGGCATACCTAACGCCACATGTGAAACGTTATTTAGAAAGGTAAATTTCAATTCTAGACCAAAGTCGCTAGTTGTTATTATTATGTTTGTAACATAAATCATCTTAAAAGAAAAGCATATAATAGAATTACTAAACTTGCTCAATGGTATAGTTTTTAAAGAGTGAGGAAATGAAGGGGAGTATTGAGGCAAGAAATGTTATATGATGAAAATCTTGAATTTTATCTGTGTTAAAATGAAGAATTAGTGTAGCTATTGAGGTGTCAAGATGTACATTTAAATATTTAAACAAACCTTAATTGAAGAAATAGCGGAGCGCGTGACGTCATGAGAAATAAAGTACAAAATCGCTATTTTGTTTTATAGCTTAGTTAATTAACTAGCATTTTTCTGCTAGTTACTTGATTACTTTTATCTTAATAATCATTTATCATTGTTGTTTGTTTAAATTAAATTTATTATTTGCATTTATATTACTTGATAGGCACAATCACACCAGTAATTAATACGGATTTTATAAATAGAAGTGCTAATTAAGATAAAATATGAAAATTTGTAAATAACTTCTTTTCACGCTAAAGATGTTATTTTACAAAATAAAATATTTTATGTTATAAAACTTTTTATATTGTTTAAAAAAACACGTAATATGCAACAACAAAGTTTATTTTAGCTTTGCCGGATCTTTAATACCATTCACATCTGTAGATAGTTTTATAATTTAGCTTATTATTAATTTCATTTATTTTTTTATACTTTTTAATTTTTTATTTTTATTAAAATCAATATACATACTTAAATGCATACATTAAATACATACATATATAATATTATTTTTGGGCAGTGATTGTATATTAATATGGAGTACTTATGGTTATAAATTCTCATAAGAAAATCAGTCTTTTCTTTGTAGAATTCTTGATAAAATGTTTGTGGGAATCAGAGGTTATCGGTCCCTGAGTTACTAGCAGCCGGTGTCTCTTTATGAAATAATAGACTTTGACATTATTGTTAAAGAGGCTATGTTTGAGACCTCCTGATGCCTTGCATTCCGCTAAATGATATAGCCAATTCATTTTATTCATATTTAACTTTACCTTCAATAGCAAAAAAGTTGGTTTATGGAATGTATTTCATTTAACTTACCACACTGATTGACTATTTTGCCAAT